AAATAAACAGGATTCACTGCACGAACACTGCATGTTCGCTCCGATATCCTTCAACCCTGTTAAGACAGGCCTTTCCCACGGTCCTCATTCCAGCGATGTGAAGCTTCTCATGGTGTTTGCCTACTGGCAAGCACTCGCTGCCGTACCGCATGCCGACTTCACCACCGCCGATACTCCTTGGCGTTCTTTAGCACCACTGGTTTCAGAGCATTCAATTGAACACAGTCCATTCTATCAAGGCAATATTGTTATGTGAGTTTACAGCCTAATCGCTCTCAAGATATAGGGAGCATTCCACATACTCCATTCTTCCGCCCCAGTGCCTACGATCGTTAGGCTCGAGTTGAAAAATTACATCGTCACGCACTTGCAAATGTGGAGAAGACCAAAACTTTACGCTGCCCGACCTAAACGGATCATGAAACAGAACCATACTGGATTTGACGGTGGTCTAGCTGAACAAACATAACACGTAATATATTCGAATGTGGCAAAAAATGTTAGTGGTAGTTGACGAGAGACACCAGATAGTCAATCTACACCAAAAATCACATAAATGATAATATAAAAGGTCAGCGAATTGTGCACACGACATCCTGGTCCTGGTGACAACCGTTAACGACGATGCTTCTCTACGTGCTCATCGCTCTTCATGCTCCTCAGCACCTTTACTCAAGCAGATATTGAAAACGTACGTTCCAAAGGTTTAAAGCCTTCATGTAGGTGTCCAGCAATAGCTTTGCTCTTGTTTTGAATAAAATTCGCCTCTCAGGAGTGCAAGGACCGCCACAATCCTACGACCTGCGCCAACTACGTGAACTGGGGCTGGTGCACCTCAACTGATCCTGGCAGAATTGGTCTTGCGAAAGCTAACTGCAAAAAAACATGTAATCTTTGTTGAAAGCAACATGTCACTAATAAAATTCACAATAGAAGTTCAAAATGCGTTACATTACTAGCGAAACCTCCAACAGCATTATTTCACTTGTTCGCTGTCATAACCTTCGTTATAGGTTCTGAAGGTTCGGATGAAAGAAGAGGAGCCGACTATGACTACGTCGTCTATGTACCTCTTGTAGAAAATTATTCCAGCGGTTAACGACCTTTGTTCCAAATAGTCCAATTATACAGTTGCTAGCAGTGGGGCTATTCTTGATAAGAATAGCTTCACTTCTAGCAATTGTATATTTGGAACAAAGGTCGTTAACCGCTGGAATAATTTTCTACAAGAGGTACATAGGTGACGTATTCATAGTCCTCCTCTTCTAATGAGCTGGAAAGAAACACTTGACAACAATTTAATTCACAAGATCCCAATATCCAGTTTACTGTGGAAAATCCAAACGAGGGTTTTGTTCCATTCTAAATACAAAAGTCCGAATAAGAAATGGGGCTACAGAATTAGTTTGGTATAAGAAACCAGCATCAAAAAATGTATTATTGCACGCTAGAAGCTGCCATCCCGCATACATGAAGGCCAACATAGTGCGGAACCTAATCACCACCAAGGAGAAATTTGTACCCAACAATCGGATGAAGTAGATTCGATGGTGGACAATATTCTAAGGGAGAACGGTTATGTAAGGCACCAATATGTACATGGAGACCACACTCGACACCAGATGAATAACCATGGTGAAGCGCGGCACTAAAAGTGAACAGTGTGGTCGAAAGCTGATCGGCGTTGACCATGGGGCAGCTTATCTACTATTGAAATTTGAACAAATATTCAAATGATTATAACTTTCTTCAAATTTGACGAATTTTCAATCTGAAAGCAGATTTGGAGTTTTGTGAAGAGCTCTTTCTAATGAGTACTAAAATTACAAAAATTATAAGTAACCAGTTTTGCTCCGCCCGCTATCGCGCGCATCACACGGCAGGCTTTAGCGAAACTGGAGGACCCATGGAATATCAGCATGAGCCACCTCACTATTGAATGTGTTAGACCTTTCCCAGTTTCGCTGAAGTCCATCGAGAATACGCGTGATAACGTCTGGAGCTGAACTGGCATATTTATCTCACAACTGTAAACATCCAGCATTCTTCTTGAATTCAGATAATTTAGCGGTGAATAGGATTGCTGTCAGTCTCAAAATGAAAATGAAATATGCCTATTTACATAAGTGAGCTAAGGCTTATCATTTATTTACATTCACCATTATTTAGAACCCCGAAAGGATTAGCGGTTTAATGAGTTTGGGCTTTCTTGATAGAAATGAAAGTTATCATTTGCTGAAGACTTGATTGAGTTTATGCAATCGACTGCTATTAAGTAAGCTGGTCATACAATGATACAATGTGCACGTACCACTACAAATAGAATTTGTAAGTAGGGACGCTCTAGTATCAGCGCAAGCTACGCAAGCTGCGTTCTGACGCGCCTTATCAGCCTTTATCAGTTGTAACCACTTTCATCACCCACCAACAATGTCCCCGTCCCACCCCACATAACACTTGTAAGTATGGACGCTCTAGTGTCAACGCGAGCTAGGTAACGGAATCGACGACTTTTGCGTTCTGACGCGCCTTATCAGCCCTTATCAGTTGTAACCACTTTCATCACCCACCAACAATGTCCCCGTCCCACCCCACATAACACTTGTAAGTATGGTTGCTCTGGTGTCAACGCGAGCCAGGTAACGGAATCGACGACTTTTGCGTTCTGACGCGCCTTATCAGCCCTTATCAGTTGTAACCACTTTCCATCACCTACCAACAATGTCCCCGTCCCACCCCACATAACACTTGTAAGTATGGTTGCTCTGGTGTCAACGCGAGCTGGGTAACGGAATCGACGACTTTTGCGTTCTGACGCCCCTTATCAGCCCTTATCAGTTGCTATCGCTTTCAATCATGTACCACCAATGTCCCCGGCAGAGTCAACCCTGCGTTGCGCAACGGGACATTCGGCTGGTCCACGTTGACGCAATTGCGAGCATCTCAAACGCACGCCCCTGTCATGGGGCGGAGACCCAGACGGCTCGGACGCCATGCGACAGTGTGAATGTTCTCGCGCGAAGAGAACGTGGCCTCTAAACATCGGCGCGCAAACTGGCGGCACGCTGGCCGTGAAGAACTGCGCACTCGCACCAGTGTTTGACTCTGTCCGCGGGGACCACTCACACACACTGTAAGTAAAGACCACTCTAGTACCAGATCAACGACAACAAATTTAGATTGATTCACGAACAAATTTCGGGATGAGCGCGAGTTTCTAAACTTTCTGAAGCAAAAAATTGCTTCATTCTGGTAACATATGAAAAGGTAATATGGCATACAAAGAAGAGTTGTTCTATTCAACGGTCAACAAAGCAGCTTAGTATGTCCAGCATTCGAAAAATGGTCACGTTGAGGATTTTTGGAAAATTAACGATGAGAATTCGGGATGAGCGGGAGTCTATTAACGTTCTGAAGCCATAAACTTGCTTCATTTTCATCAAATCTGAAACATTAATATGTCATTATAAACTAGAAGACTTGCTCTATTCGTATATTACTGCAACTTCTTAATACGGTCAGCATTTAAAATCGGTCACGTTGAGGATTTTTGCCCCGATTATGGTCGAAAGGTGTTTTTTCGCTGCATTTGCCCTACTTCAACGACCATAGCTTCTTTCAGGGGCGATTTTTTACAGAAATGGATGCAGGTTAGGAATGCATGAGCTTTTCTTCCTCCAAACTGGTTTAAAGTGTTGAACTGTAGGCGTATCTCAACTTTAACACTCATATGTTGATGAATTTGACGCTGAAGGCAGCATTTCTTGCGGATAGTACACTCCTCCCTGTAATTTTAGACGGAACCTTTCGGAATCCTCTTCTCTTTTCCTAACTTGAGATTCTTTCCCCAAAGAACCGTAACTGAAGCGCGCGCAAACGCTGGGTACATTCTGGAACGCGCCGTGTGCTTCACATCCCTTCAGATTCACGGACTCGCTGGGAGACAAATGTCAACTGGGAGAGGTGCGAATTTTAGATTCTCTAACTTGATAAAACGTTCAACTATAAATTACCAAGCGGACACCTCTGAATCATGAACATCTTATGCGGGCGAAACCACTATTCGGAATCGTCTGACCTTCCATGGCATTTGTTCGATCCTTGATGTTTGCCATCCAACAGTGATGATCTCACTGCATCGATCCGCCCCGATCTCTTCTATCCAGCAGGCCGGTACACCCACTCCCCTGTCGACATGTCGAGGATTCCTCAACGCACCTTGGCCCTACCCTTGGCGCTTATTTGCTTATCATAATCCGTGAACAGACAAACTGCGTCAGGCATGGAGGGTAGATCTTGAGAGTCAGCAGTTTGGAGCACTAGTCATTACACTTCTTCTTGAATGCCAATGGCCACCTAGGATCCTTTCCTTGTAAGTTATCTTCCTAGGAGAAGGATACAATTCTCTTCATTCTTCAAATATAATAACCACTGACCACCCCAGTGGAAACATGAATAGCTCAAAATTTTTTTACTGAATCTTCGTTGGTGATGGTACTTCAGTGATTACGAAATGATTCCCTCACAGTTGTTCCCTCACTCTACCCCCCACAAAACCCGTGCAACATACAGAAACTCAGAAAAGGTGAGGAAGGAGAGTCGCTAATTCACTGAGCTCCTCCAAATTAGGCTCTGAGCAGTTCACACATGCTTACACCCCATTGCCCCATTTTCTTGAAGAGCGCATTTTTTTGCTACTACACCATGTATCTTTCCAAACATTCTCCTGCCCTAATCGTTGTCAATTCAATTCTAGTGATGACTGTGTGATTCTTGGTGGCACCGCTGAGGCTCATAGTTGGGACATGAATGTAAGTGAAGAAACTGCTCAAAGAATATTGATCGGGAATCAAAGGAATGTGCCTGCTCTCAAGGTAATTTTCTTGGGGAACTCATTTAGCCGGTTTCTTGGGCGAAACAGTATATTGTTTCCTTCAGGGAGCGAAAATTCTCAGTCACCACGTTGGTCTCCGACCGGGACGCAGTGACGTCCGACTAGAAGCCGACAGCCTCACGTTCAACGGTAAAAAGGTTCGTACGGAGCACGCTTTGAGATTCTGTTGGAAATCTGTTAATTTAATTCCTCCAATTTAGGCCCTAGTTGTGCACAACTACGGTCATGGCGGTAGTGGAGTGACACTGTTCTGGGGATGCGCAATGGATGTAGTCAGAATTATCGCCGGGTCTTGCGAAGACATGGCGACTTCGAAAATTTAAACATTTTGTTGCGTAAAACGATTGCCTGCTTTGACCGACTGTTCACTCATGTTAAACCTTCATTAACAAAATCCGCGAATTGGATTGATTTTCAAATCTCTCGTTCGGATCAACATGGGCTTAGGCTACTCCGAAATGTCGCTTTGTTATCAACCGTTTTTCGAAAAGGGCTCACGTAGGGAATTTCTGCGAACATTTAGCGCGAGAGACCCTTACGTTAGCCCATTTCAAAAAAGTTCATGAGAAAAACAGAACGGCGCCTGCGCCAAAAATCAACGTTAGTTTTATGCAGCTCTGTCGATAACCACTAGAGGAGAGGATTCAGGAAAAAATCCCTTACGGAGTGGGATAGCGACGAGTTTTGTAAGGCAATGGCAAATTATTGGTGCACCTATCGCTTTGGTTTTTTTCTCATTGTTCTCGAAGATTTTTCCGTTTCATTCGTCTGTGATATACTCGATATCCGAGAGTTGGGGTAGGCGTGTCACCGGAAGTGACGTGCACTTGATAGAAGCTATGTGGATAAGCTGCTTCCAACATACATCGCTGGATATCAGCAAAGCATGCTGGCAACAGCTTATCCACGCAACTTCTATCAAGTGCACGTCACTTCCGGTGACACGCCTACCCCAACTTTCGGATATCGACTGTATCTTGCGTGAACATTGTGCAACTCACACATCTTCACATACAATACGGTTCGGTGTTCTGACCTATGAAATGCGATCGTCTAATTTCATGACTACGGCACGCAAACGAAAGCAATTGCGAAGGTCCTTTCTGTACCCCGAGGAACGGTTCAGAAAACGGCATCCCTACTACATGTTAGGTTGTTGCATTATAAATATCGCACCAGATTTAACTTCACTCCACTCGGCTGTGTCCAACATCCAGAGGCACTTAAGCATTCATTCAAAAGAGGAAATTTAGGAGTGTAAAAGCGACTAATCGCTGCCTCATGCCATTTTGTCCTTTATAGGAGTTTTCTTCTTTTAACCATGACCCGAAATTTTCATGTGTACACGTGGATGTTCTACGACATCTTGAGGGGAGGGCTCACACGGTCACGGCAGGTCTTTGTGAACAAAAATCAATTTACATCAAACCATGAGCTGGCTAAGGCCGATGTCATAGTTTGCGAATCGAGCGATTCGCTAGCGAATCGCTGGATCCGAGCGTTGCGCCAGCGAATCGAACGTTGCACCAGCGAATCGAACTTTGCGCCAGCGAGTCGAACGATGTACCAGCGAGTCGAACTAGGTACCAGCGACTCAATAGTGGCGGGACCCAACGTTCAAAGGAAGCCCGCCACTTTCAAACAGTGTCCACTGTCACGTGACATTCGCTAGCGAATCGCTCGATTCGCAAACTATGACATCGGCCTAAGCGAGAAAGAAAAACAATGGTTTCATGAGGGCACTTCACGACGAAAAAGCTGCATTTTACGAAAAAAAATCACCAGCAAAAAAGTGCGAGACCAGGCTGAAACATTTCACTTCGCCGCCAAACAGCTCTGGTCACACTCCATCTATGTGCTGCGCATCCGAGTCAACGCGGCACGTTTTGAAGGAGAAACAGTTCAGAGAGTACAAAAAATTCGGAATCTGGGTGTCCATGTTTACCTGCGCACAGTTGCTACGATTCTTCGAGAAGGAACGTCGAGTCTCTGCGTGAGGAATGGCGAAGCCTGGCACAATAAGGTAGTATCCATCTCTTCTTCTGAGATGCCGAACTGCTGCTGTTCCAACAAATTTGTGGTACGTCCAAAAGCGACACTTATAACAACCTACTAATATAATTCGCAAAGTGTGACTGTGTGTGTATGTGTGTACGTGTGTTCGTCCGTCTGTCTGTCACAAAATTCATAGCACTGCAGCCATGGAGCGTTGTATTTTAAGCGCTGTATTTTTTAATTTTATTTAAAATATTAC